ACCAATTTCTGTGCATTGATTTTATATCCTGCAACTTTGCTGAATTCATGGATCAGTTCTAGCAGTTTTTTGGTGAATCTTTTGGGTTTTCCACATAGAGTATCATGTCATCTGTGAAGAGTGAAAGTTTGACCTCCTCCTGGCTGACTTGGATGCCTTTTAGTTCTTTGTGTTGCCTGATTGCAGAGGGTAAGACTTCCAATACTATGTTGAATAACAGTGGCAAGAGTGGACATCCCTGTCTTGCTCCTGATGTTAGGGGGAAAGCTCTCAGTTTTTCCCCATTGAGAATATTAGTGTTGGGTCTTTTGTACATGGCTTTTAATGATCTCAAGGTATGATCCTTCTATCCCTACTTTCTTGAGGGTTTTTATCAAGAAAGGATGCTGTATTTTGTCAAATGCTTTCTCTGCATCTATTAAGAGGATCATATGGTTCTTGTCCTTTCTTTTATTGATGTGATGAATCACGTTAATTGTTTTGCAGATATTGAACCAACCCTGTATCCCAGGTATAAATCCCACTTGGTCGTGGTAAATAATTTTTTTAATGTATTGTTGGATCCAGTTGGCTAATATATTGTTGAGGATTTTTGCATCCATGTTCATCAGGGAAACTGGTCTATAGTTCCCCTTTTTAGGGGGGGTCTCTGTCTGGTTTTGGAATCAAGGTAATGTTGGCTTCACAGAAAGAGTTTGGAAGTTTTCCTTCCATTTCTATTTTTTGGAACAGCTTCAAGAGACTAGGTGTTAACTCTTCCTTAAATGTTCAGTAGAATTCCCTGGAAAGCCATCTGGCCCTGGACTCTTGTTTTTTTGGGAGATTTTTTGATTACTAATTCTATTTCTTGACTGGTTAAGGGTCTGTTCAAATTTTCTATTTCTTCCTGTTTCAGTTTTGGTAGTGTATATGTTTCTAGGAATCTGTCCATTTCTTCTAGATCACCCATTTTATAGGCATATAATTGCTCATAATCTCTTATTTTTATTTCTGAAGATTAAAAAAAATTTTTTTATTAAGTATTTATTTTTGACAGAGATAGAATGTAAGCATGAGCTGGGGAGGGGCAGAGAGAAGGGGAGACACAGAATCCGAAGCAGGCTCCAGGCTCCAAGCTGTCAGCACAGAGCCTGACGCAGGGCTCGAAATCACGAACGATGAGATCATGACCGAAGTCGGACGCTTAACTGACTGAGCCACCCAGGCACCCCTATTTCTGAAGATTTTTTTTTTAAATGTTCATCTATTTTTGAGAGAGAGAGAGAGAGAGAGAGAGAGAGAGAAACAGAGAGAGAGAGAAACAGCAGGGGAAGGGCCGCAGAGAGAGAGGGAGACACAGAATCGGAAGCAGGCTCCAGGCTCTGAGCTGTCCGCACAGAGCCCAATGCAGGGCTCAAACTCACGAACCATGAGATCATGGCTTGAGCCAAAGTCAGATGGTTAACTGACTGAGGCACCCAGGCGCCCCAGTCACTCTTCATTTATAAACAGGGATGATACCTGCTGGTGTACCTCATAGAACCACTAAGATCAAGAGATTCAATGAATAGGAAAAAGGTCTGAAAACAGGAACCATGACTATTGAAAGTTATTATTCAAAGATAGTAGGTTTGGTTGAGTGTGTGCATAGACAGGAAAAAGTAACCTGACCAAGAAAGCCCGCTGGTCTTGAGTCTGGGAGTTAAATGCAGCAGAAAGCACTGCTGTCTATGCCAGGGATTGGGGGAGAGTGGGCAATCTCCCTGAATCCCAGCTTCCCCACAGGGGCCTCCCTGTTTATTCTATTTTGAAGGTCAGAAGATGCAAGTACCATATGCGGCAGGAAACTATCAATAGGTGGGAGATGCCCAGGCAGTGTGTTTCAAACACTGGCTTTGGAGTCTGACCCGAGTATGACTTCTAGCCGAGTTGAACAGTAATGTGACACTGGCAAGTGCTACTCTATTCCTTCTCCTCAAAAGAAAGATGAGTCTCTCATATGGAATCATTGAGGAACGAATGAGAACAAAGATAACAATGCTCAAAATACTGCCTGGCATACAATAAGCACTCAACAAATATTAACTAATTTCTGAGATTTCTATGGGTTTATCCAGTTACTGGGTCAATGCACCATTTCCAGGACCTTCCACTAGGGGGCGGACAGGCACAGAAAGTAGTAGTGAAAGTGGGTGATTCTGATGTTTGTCTCAGGCCCCGATACTCTACAATGAAGGAGGTCAAAGTTGTTGTCTAAAAGATTATTTGAGGACCAAGAACCTTTGGTCATTTCAGCCATTCAACCAGAAATATTACGATATACCTGATAGTGAGCTGGGGAAGGAGAAGCAGAGGCTTGGGGTTAATGGTGGGGGGGGGGGGTGGAGAGGGGGGAGTCCAAAAAACACATTTTCTGGTGAATTGGGAAAAGATGGGTCAGAGGAAATTTTGCCAAGTAAAGTTCCAAAACAGCTGAGAACTCTCAAAGCAAGTGACAGCATGGAATATAAAACCTAGAAAAGCTCTAGAAGGGTATCTACCTAACCCCAACTGTGGTCCTGTATCAAATGCAAGAACCACCAAAGCCAAGATGTTCCTTAATCCAGACTACCCCATGGCAGGATGGGAAATGCGTTACATTCTCCTACACACACAGAAAAGGAAGGGGAGGTGAGAAAATGTTGGAGTCGGAAGGGACCAATTCTGTGATTCTATACATGTGGCAGGTTTAGCCTGAGGAAGGCAATTAGCCAGGTGACTTACAGAGCTGGCCAAGAAGCCACATGTCCCGTCTCTCCTGCCTTGAGCTCTTACAATATAAAGCACAATAATCTATAAACATCTGTGCCCCATCCCCGCGCCCTCCCCACCCAATACCAAGCTCTGTGTTTCTAACAACTTGTAAGACCCTCCTGAGGATGAGGGGCAGGGAAAGAAGAGCGCAACTACAAAACTGGTTCTCAGGTCTCTATGCTAAGAAGCCTGGGCTTTGAGTGGGTCTTGGTGCCAGCTCCATCTCACCTTAAATGCTCAATGCTAACGGCTCTAAGTCATATGGCAGAATTTGTTTTCTTCTACATTTTGGGAGAGGTGAAAAGAAAGCAAGTCAGCTTAAAACAGGTTTTCTTCTCTGCAAAGGCTTGTGTGTAGTTAAGGATAGTAATCAAGTGAGACAAAGGGATTCCAATACGCTATTCCCCAGACAAGCCTGAAACCAGGGAAGGTTATTGCAATTCTTGAATACAAATTTGAGGACGGTGGTTGGCAGATACTTTGAGGCTGCTTTGGGAAGGAGTGTAGATCCGAAGTCAGCACCCAAGATAAAGCTGCCTATTTGCCTTTCTTCACAAATGGCTCACCCTTGATACTCCATCTCTGGGTAAAGCTGTTTGAGTACACGAAGGAACTTAGAAGCAAGGTCAGCGAACTACTCTGTCATGCTTCTAAGTAAACTCCCTTATCCAGTTGTGTCCCTGGAACCCCAGAACCAATCAAAATGCAGTTAGCATGCAGATTTCAGTGGCCAGGGAACACAGACAACTTTATCACCCAAATATCATTTATTGAGAGAAAGATGGGGAGGAAAGCTGGTACAACATAGCATAGCTTGCCTATTGGGTCAGGCAGCTACAGGAGGAAGACTGTTAGTTTTAGCTTGTCATTACAGGAATTGGAATCGTTGGCCAAATCCCAGAATTCATCAGGCTCTGGGTCTTACTCTCCTTCAAAGAAATGAAGTCAAGAGGCTAGACCATTTTTAACTTCTGAAGATGATCTTCCCGAGCAGGGTTCAGCAAACTACTGCCTGTGGGCCAAAATATAAAATATAGCTGCTGTGTTTTTGTAAAAAGTTTCATCAGGACACAGCCACACTCATTTGTTTACGTGTTGTCTATAGCTGCCTTTGCCCTGCAACAGTAGATGCAACAGGGACCCCAAAGCCTAAAATACTTGCTTATCTGGCCCTTTACGGAAGAAGTTTACCAACCCCTGCCATAAAGGATTTGGGTAAAGTGCTGAAGCACCTTTTCTATTAAAGGGTAAGCCTAAACGCCTCAGTGATTTCCCCTTTTGCTCTGAAAGGAAGGTCTATCCCAAATTTAGGGCCATTTTTATACTTGAAGACACTGTACATGGTAATGAGCTAGGAATAGAATCTTTTCCTTGCACATCATTGTAGTGCAGGGACAGAAGCCAGGAAACTGGGAAGATATGAGGCCTAACGCTCCAATTCCAGCCAGTTTAAGACAGGAATCTGGGGCACCTGGCTAGCTCAGTCAGTGGACCATGTGACCCTTGATCTCCAGATCTTAGGGTCATGAGTTCAAGCCCCACGTTGGGCACAATTTACTTTATTAGATTCCTTTTTTTTTTTTTTTTTTTTTTAGTTCTCAAAAGCTCAATCTTTTGGGCAAGTTTATTAGCAGGAGTATACCCAGAGAGACTGAGAAAGCTAGCTCCCTATCCCTTCTGTAGGTGAAAGCTTCTTTACTTGTAAACTGAGGTCACTGGCTCAGCAGACAGCAAAGCCAAAGGGAGCTGTTTCCATAGTAGAGAATGCTCAGAGTCCAAAATAACAGAAAAGGGTCAACAGTTTATTTCTAAGATACAGTAAGTAATCAAGACTGTGAGTTTTCATTCAATTGCTCATGGGGGTTCAAACTGAAACACCTTTGAAAGGTGATCTATCTATCTATCTATCTATCTATCTATCTATCTATCTATCTATCTATCCATCCCTGTAAAACCCCTTACAGCTTTGGTGCTCAACAGATAGTTAGCAGCAACAATTACAATTAAGATGACAGACACTGGGGAAATGTAGTATGTAAGAGGATCTCTCTGATTATAAAAGCGTTCACGTTGTGGACAAGTTTTGTAGCTGCTTTCTTGCTGTCTGTGAAGAATATCTTGGAAGTACCAAAGTTCACAGTCAACATACCCCTGATGTTCCCCTGGGATTACTCAAATGTAGGGACAAAATAAGGATTACATCCTACTCCGGGATCCAGATTACTTACATTTCTGAAGTCCAGTGTTCATCTGCGTGTGAGGAAGAAGCTGAAAGGACAGGTCACCTGGCCCTGGTAGACAGGCTAGCATGGCAGACTGGCATCAACACAACATGAGGCAGTCACTCACACTGCAATGAACACAAAAACAAGGTCATGGAATACAAGGCAACTCACTCAAGGAAGATACCAGGGACACTGGATATGAGCAGCAGAGGCCCAAGTTTAGATAGATAAGCAATTTAATTAGCAGGATGTTGGTTGAAAATATACCCACAGCAACAATTTGCCCCTGTTACTATGGCTAAAATTCTGTTTCAGTCAGCACAGAAACATGGGCCACGAGGGGAAATAAAACCTGGAAATACCTAACCACACAAATAACTGGAGAATAAGGTGTACTGGTAAAGTCTTTTACGGTTCATAAGCTTTACATGCACTCTTGGCATCTGCATTTCCTGTAGATGGCCTCTCCCTGCTGCTTTTGGATAGGCCCATGGGGTTGCTAGCTAGATACAGGACATTCTAGCTCTCCTCTGTGTCCCAGCTCCTAAGGCAGGAGCAGAAAGGCTAGGGCAGATTCTAACGGAGGTGAAAGGAAAAATGACTTCTCCCTGAAAATAGAACAGAGTTCCTGAAGAGAGCTGGCCCTAATAGGGCCTGGCTCAGTCTATTTACAGGCCTGGTTGGGGCAGGGGCAGTCAGACATTTCCAGAGGCAGTACAGTATACGAGTTGCAGACACACCCAAAGTCCAACTGGCTATGGCAGAAATCTGAGCTTACTTTTATTAGGAAGAAGGGGCAGAGCATCCTAGGAGACACAATTAACTACTGTTAAAGCAAATTCTGTTTGTAAGTTTCTGAGGATTTACCTTTCCTATTGTCTACCACACAATTAGTCTCCCTGGACCCCAGAAAAGAAAAAAAATTTGCATTGTTCCCAGAGTAAATCAGTGAGGTAGCAGGCTGCTGGCAACCCTCTCTAGGCAGGTAATCCTGACGTTCTGTCAAGATGGCATGGTTTCATCTGTGGTGTCTACCAACAAGACCTGCCCAAGAGAATAGACCTGATGTGGCCTTCTGTAGGGAAGAGCAATGCAAGCTCCCTGTGTACCAAGGACCAAGCTTTTTCAAATAAATATCTTATGCTAGAATACATGAAATTCCTTTCCCAAGCTGCAAAACCCAGAAATCAAGGTGGCTATGTTAAAGCTTTAATCCCAACAAAAGCGGAGTGGGGGGAAAGCTCAAGTGTTAAACAAAGACCGCAAACCCTCTTTCTTTCTCTCTGAAGGGCCCTCTCAGCTATGTGAAACTACCTGTCACGAGGAGTATCTGAGAGCTCCAGCTTGCAAGGCCAGGTACCTAAAAAGACACTTTGTAAAAGGGGCTGCTCAAACTGTGTCTAAGATAGCAACTGCGGAAAGAACTGAAGATCGAACGCTTCAATGAGAATAGAGCTGTCCAAGAGTTCTGGCACAGATTCAGCCTTTTCAGGTCTCCGGTGGGTGGGATAACAGAATGTACACAGGACGCCAACTGCAGCGCCTCAAGAAATAAAAAGGCTTCTGTCGGGGTCAAATGACTGAGGTACAGTTTACAATCCCTTCTCTTGTGAATGCTGTTCTCTGTTTAATAACCTCTCCCCTATGGTCCTAATGTAGGAGAAGGCAAAATCCAAGGAAAGGAAGGGAATTAACAAATACTGGAGCCTAATATTATGAAATGGGCTGTATGAGGGGCTTTAGTGATGTTTTCTCAATTAGGTCTCCCAGGATTTCCTGGAAACAGGTGGTAATTCCACTTGTCACCTGTCATCTCATCATCTCTCACCTGGATTACTACAATAGCCTTCTAAATGGTTTCTCTGTTCCACCCTTGCCCCTATCACCCAATCTACTCTCCACACAGCAGCCAGAGTCATTTATTTGTTTAATTAGAAAACTTATCAACTCAAAAATCTCCAATGATTTCCCATCTCACATAGAATAAAATTCAAAATCCTACCAGGTCCATAAGGCCTTCCATGATCTGTTACTACTCCTTCTCTGACCTCATCTTCTAACCTCCCCTGCCCCTCTTTCTTTCTGATTCCACTTTCGGCCACAGTGGTCTCCTTGCAGCTCCTCCAATGAGCCAAGCACACTTCCACCTCCACACCTTGTACTCCATCTGGACAGCAGCAGTACTGTGATGACAGAGCTACAGAGGACACATTCACTAAGCTGTCCTTCAGATACACTCTTACCCTGTACTTTCTGGAAAGAACCAATCTAGCATGATCACCGCAATCTCTGACATACCTACTAAATCTTGATGCCTACAACCAGGAAGAGATGAAGGGGAGGGGGGGGGGGCTGTGGATCCTAAGAGTTGACCATAACATATTGCACCTCAAACCACAACTCTGGATTTCCAATAGGAAGAACAGGAGATAATTAAACCAGCTAAACTGCTAAACTGCAGCAAAGACACATCAATGGATTTACTGACAGTGAACAAAGGAGCAAAAATAATAGGTGAATTCTGTAAAGACGCAAGAGAGTCAGGGCACCTGGCTGGTTCAGTCAGTGGAGCATGTGGCTCTTGATCTCAGGGTTGTGAGTTCAGGCTCCACGTTGGGTATAGAGATTACTTTTTAAAAAAGACCCTAGGAAATCAATTTTTCGTTTGGGCAGGAGGGGGTGAAGGAAGAAGAAGATACCAGAGCTTGGGGCCCTCCATGATGACGTCCCCAACAAGAACCACCCAGAAACTAGAGAAAACTCATTATCGAGGCTGCTAAGAGTACAGCCCTAATTTGTGACCCTTTAAGAGTTCAAGGCTCTATCTGCCATCCCTTCCAAAAGACTGCTCTCTGTACTAAGGAGGTCTTCAAGCCCCTTGACCAGTTTTCACTTAAGTCAAGAATCAGATTCTGCTACGTCAGGGAAGGCAGGGAATGTGGCAAAATCATGAAAGTTGTGATGAAACAGGACGGAAACAATTCCCTTCCACAACCCATTCTAGAAAGAAGGGATGTGCAGTATAAAGTACTTCTCTGGAAGCTGGCAGGTGGGCACAGGCCTTTTCTTTTAAAACTTCACACCACCCACATATTCTGATTACCACCTGGCTTTTTCTAAAAAGCAAATCCCAATATAAGTTTACCGTTGACACTTCCAGAAGCCCAAGGAGAGCCAGATATCAACACTAGCACTACCTCCTGAAGAGACCTCAAAATTCAAGTTCTGACTTCTAAACAGAATCAAGTAGTAATCTAGAGCTCAGGCCAAATGAGCTGCACACATTACAGAGAAAGTAAAAAAGATCTCCTTGGCAAAGCCTCTCTGTGCACTCTCAGCCAGCGTTCCCACCGCCAGCTGGCCTGCTCCCTAAGCAGGGCGACTACGGTATCACAGTAAGCCCAGAAAGGTGTTCAAACTCTCCTGGGGCATTCGCACCAGTGCTAGCATTTCCAGACTATCTCTAATCGAGGAACAAAACCCTTGTGCCCACTGGGAAAACTCAAAAGTACTTTCATCTGCCCTCCCACCCACCCCCACCCCCACCCCAGTCAGAAGACTGCCAGCAGTTACATTAGAGTTGTGATGTCACACTCTGCTTTCCTGGGTGGCATCTGATAAAGGACTACCTCTACCTTAGGGCAGGTCTGCGCAGGTAAGAAAACCTCAGCTGGGTTTGTGCTACTTGTCCCTGTTTATGCTTAAGACCACTGAAAGGTAGGGATAGTAGGAGAGAAGATAAAGTGCTGGACAAAGGATTTATTTTTACTCAGGGGGCTCTGGGGTAAGGTGAAGTGGTCTACAGCCATCACTTCCAGCCCAGTTTCAACACCCACAATCCACTGCCTCCCACTACACTTCTTTGCCAATTCTCTCTCCTGCTTTCCCTTCCCTGCAACCCCCCCACCTTCAAAAAGAACCCTCCCCCCTCAAAAAAAAAAAAAGTTGACTAGCCCAGTAGAAACTGATTCACGCTGTAGTTCAAAAATTTGAATCTGCCATTGTGGTCTTGAGAGAGCAGGTGTGAAGCAGGAGTGGGGGTGGGGTGGGGTGGGGGTGGAGGAGAGAATCCTAAGCAGGCTCCACACTGTCAGCAAAGAGCCTGATGTGGGGCTCAATCTCACACATGTTGAATTATGACCTAAGCCAAAATCAAGAGTCAGACACTTAACCAACACAGCCACCCAGGTACCCCCCATGTATATGCATCTTTAGAGAATATGATACTGAGAAACTGCATTAATAGTCCTTAGTATCTCTAATTAAAGCCTTCTCATCCAAGAGCTAAAGGCTTATCTAAAAAGACTACTTATTGGGGCACCTGGGTGGCTCAGGCAGTTAAGCATCAGACTCGAGCCCATGGTTGTCCTGAGATAGAGCTGGGCATGGAGCCTGCTTAAGATTCTCTCTCTCCTTCTCTCTCTGACCCTCCCCCACTCACCTGCATATGTGTGTGCTCCCCCTCAAATCAATCAAAAAAATAAAAAGACTACTTTTTGATAATGGGGAAAAACATTTTATCCTACTGCTCCCTGTTCCTTTACTCCTGGCGTCCAAGAAATTAGGCTAAAACCTAATGGAAACGCCAAACTACTGCTCTGGGGGATAAACAGGGCAAAAGACAGCAAAAATTACATGTTTATCAAATCAGACTGCAAAATCAGTCATCTTCATGGTCTGTTACAATAAAACAATCTATTCAACAGGTAACTTTGTCCAGATTTAACTGTGAACTTCTGCTGAATTCTACTTTTCACTAATTACCCAACCTGAATAAAGTTCAGCCACTGCTCAAAGGCATCTTTCTTCTCTATTTTTAACCCATAAGCGAGTTAAAATTCACTTGGAATTGTGACCTCACAACTCTAGGAGGGTGTGGGGGGATGGCGAATGTTCAGTCTGGGTTGTTTTTTTTTTTTTAACACTTACACTTTTATTTTTTATTTTTATTTTAAGTTTATTTTGAGAGAGAGAGCACACGTGCGCATGAGTCAGGGTAGAGAGAGGAGAATCCCAAGCAGGCTTTGCACTGTCAGCACAAGCCCGATGTGGGGCTTGAACTCACAAACTACAAGATCATGACCTGAGTAGAAATCAACTGAGCCACCTAGGTGCCCCTGGACTT